CCCCCCCCGGCACCCCCACCTCATCCCCCTCCGCTCGGTATCTCTCAGCGAAGGGGGCCGCATCCTTGCATTGCTTTAAGCTGTTTTGGAAGAGTTTCTATTTTTCTCCACGTCAAGTCAGTTCTGTTTGAATCGAGCGAGTGCAAAAAAATCAGAGCATCTTTGGGGGAAAAAAAAAAAAAAAAAATCCCAGCCGTCCGAGAAAGCTGTCAGCAAGATCCACCGGGGTGCAATAAAGTAGTTTCTTCTCCTTAATTTGCCTGCTCCAGTCGCGAACTCACACCACCCCGATCCGGCTTCGCTCCTTCTTCTCGAAGTCCCGGGTCGGACAGTATCACAGGTAAGAAGTTAAAAAAAAAAAAAAAAAAGAATGATGCAGCTCTGCCTTTCCTACCTTCTCAGCTCCGACGCTGTGAGATATAATTAATTGCTCCGAAAGCTTTGACAGGCTTCTCCACCGGTCACCGTGAGCTATAGCTGACTTTCTCCTGGTAACAAATTAAGACTGATGCCTCGGGAGCAGGAGCGGGGAAGCTGAAGATGAGCAAAAATGATCTCGCAGGGTCCATAACCGAGACCGGCCGCAAACGGCTTCCTTCCGAGTGCGTGTTTCCCCGCGAAGTTTGTCTGGGACACATTTGTTAAAGGTTTAGCACCTCTCTCTTGTTTGAAAAAGAAACTACAAAAGCCCGTTGGAAAAGCGGGGTGTTAAACTGAAGAATGTATGTGATGGTGATTTATGGCCCTACGAAGTTTTTTGTTTACTTGAAGCAGACCCTAATTACAAGGGCTTCTTTAAAAAAAAAAAAAAAAAAAGAAAGAAAAAAGATTTCCCAAGCTCTGTGCATGTCCACGGCGGGTTTTCCCTCCCCAGGTCTGGGTGTAGCGGCCAGATGTGACTAACAAACATCTGGTTAGTTGAGCTGCTTTTCCTTTTAGTCGGCCAGTGCATTTGACCGAAATGGGTAAGACTGAGACTCTTAAACATTTGGCGTAAAAGCGGTGGCTGCCGGGGGAGTCCGAGCCTGAAAATACCAGGCTTTTCAAAAGGTTCAAGGTTTGTTTGGGGGTGGGGGGGTGGGGGATGTCCTCGAAAATGGGTCATTTCGCTCAAATGCGGTTTCTGGGATTGAAAGGGACGCGGCCGGGAGGGCGAGATTTCGCGTGCGAATATCGGGTGCGTTATTTTCTATGGACTCGTGCTATTCATTTCTGGCTCAAAAAAAAAATCCGCCCCCCCCCCCCCCCCCCCCCGCCCTTAGCAGAGGATCTTATCTGGATGGCTGACTGTATGTGTGGAGGAAAAAAACCTCCGAGAAATCGAATTAAACCTGGGAAGTTTTTCTAAAGATAGATAGATAGATAGATAGATAGATAGATAGATAGATAGATAGATAGATAGATGGATGGATGGATGGATGGATG